CCTCACCCACGTCTGCCCCACCCGGTGCTGCGTGCGGGCCCTGGACCACGGCCACCAGAGGGGGGCTTGGGGACGCAGGTCCTGCAGGTCGACCCCTCACCCGGCCAACGGCCCCTTCCCGTCCCGTGGTCAGTGTCAGTGCTCACTCCTGCTGAGCCGCAGGCACCGCCGTTCCCTGGGCGGAGCCCCCTCCGAAAAGAAGAAACCTGAAGCCCGGCCGGCCTGGCTCGGGGTGGGGGTCGACCTAGGAACCAGGAGGTCACAGGCCGAGTCCCGGTCAGGGCACATGACAGGGTGTGGGCTCGATCCCCAGCGTGGGGCGCGCAGGAGGCAGCCGGTCCAGGTCCTCTGTCATCGCTGATGCCTCTGCCTCTCTCCCTCCCTCCTGTGCGGCTGACTGGAAACCCTGGTGCCTTCATTGGGGGCCCCACCTCACCACCTCCTCTCGCCTCATCCCCCAGAACCCCGCGTCCTCTCAGCAGGTGGATGGGGAGGACACATGTCCGCCCCCAGCGCGGAGGTTGGGGTGCCGCCCTGAGCCGCCCGTGTTCCCGATCCGCCCGCCCACGAGGGCCGGGCTGCGGTCTGTCTGACGCAGGCAGGAGGCGGGCTGGGTTCGGGTCCCTTGTGCTCACGCGTGCCCCTCCCCTCAGTGTCGTGTGGGAGCCCACGGGCGACGGGACGCGAGTCATCTCCCTGGCGGACAACCACCTTCTGCTGTGGGACCTGCAGGCGAGCTCCGGCCGGGCCCAGGTAGGTAACAAACGCTGTTTCCCGCTTCTAATCTCTTAACGGGATTTTTAAAGGTTATTGATTTTTAGAGAGAGAGAGATTTGACTAAACTTATACTTCTCGATTCATGTCTTCAGGATTTTACGTTAATGATGAAGTGGTTAGTGAGCGAATTGAGTTATTGATCAGAGTATTGAGCGATTGCCTCTATCAGGTGAAAGCAGCTCGGTGTTGGGCCTCGGGCCGAGCACAGATGGACACGGACCCCGAGAATGGACAAACCGCCCCTTCATCACATCTGTGCGCGCGGCAGAGAGGTGCCCACCCGCATCCCCTCTGTTTCAGGAGCCTGTCCCTAGGGCTGGGCTAGGTCACCTCTCAGGTGCTGACAACATATTGCAGGCAGCCCTTCCCTAGTCCCCCGAGTGTGGAAACGATGCTGGACGAGACCCGGGCCCTTCAGCTCACCTCCTCTCGCTCCGTCATGCAGAGCTCAAGGCTGGGTCATCAGACACGTGGGCTGTTCTCGTGCACGTGGGTGTGGGGCCCCCAGCCCTCGCCGTGTCTCAGGACCTGCAGACTCGAGAAGGGAGGTCTGGAGCCTGTAGGCTGCGGGACGAGGCCTGGAGCCCCCAGCCCTCGCCGTGTCTCAGGACCTGCAGACTCGAGAAGGGAGGTCTGGAGCCTGTAGGCTGGGGGACGGGAGGCCTGGAGCCTGTAGGCTGGGGGACGGGAGGTCCGGGGCCTGTAGGCTGGGGGACGGGAGGTCCGGGGCCTGTAGGCTGGGGGACGGGAGGTCCGGGGCCTGTAGGCTGGGGGACGGGCAGGGAGGGTCTCCTGGTGGAGGCGTGGGGCAGTGGGTGCCGAGCTCGCTGCTGGTCTGGCAGGTGTGGGTGCAACCCCGGAGAGGAGCCCCCGGCAGGCGGAGCCCAGAGCCCAGGGGCGGAGTTGTACGTTTTAGGGCTCAGGCCTCAGTCCTGCCGCGGTCGTGGCCCCACTGCACACAGCTCCGCCCGTCCTCGCAGCACGCTCTGCGGTGGGCGATTAGCCTGTGACTTACTTTCTGCAGAGACCAATTTAGTCCTCCGGCCCCTCTTTTGTCAGCGTCAGCACTCTGTCAGCCTCACTTTGTGACCCTGGGCCGTGGCATTTAATACTGAGCCCCCGATCGATCCGCGTCTCCACACCCAGCTCCTCCGTTTTTTATTGTCGGAGGATCTTGCCCTGCGTGGTGAGTCTCATCTCAGGCTGGCTGCATCATTACCCTTTGCAATTAAACGGGAGGTTCCCTGCCATTTATAATCATTAGCGAGAGCCCAGGGGAGGCCTGGGGGCGGGTCCGCGGGGTCCCGGCCCTGGTGAAGGCGGAGGGGGTGCCCCCCCATTGTGATCTGTGCTCATTCATCTCTGGGCTCCAGCAGCCTTCACTGGCTCTGGAGATAAATAGCTCCTTGCAGGGTGCAGCGAGCGGCACAGCCCAAGGCACAAGGTGCCGCGAGCCTCGGTGCCCTCCCGGCCACACATCCACCTGGAGCTCCCGCAGAGGAGCCCAGCGGGTCGCCTGCTCGGTGCTAGGGCCTGAGGCAGGAACGCCTTTTTAGAAAAGTGTTTTCATTGATTTCAGAGAGGAAGGGCATGTGCCCTGACCGGGAATCGAACTGTGACCTCCTGGTTCATAGGTCAAAGCTGACCACTGAGCCACAGCACCTGCAGGAACGCCTCTTTGAGGGAGGAGAGTGGGTGCCAAGGGTACTAGTGCTTTTAGACGTGTCCCAGTTGAAACCATACCCCGGGGGGTGGGGGGCTGGGTTTCAGGAGCCCGTCACCTACAGCTGACGCCAGCCGGGCCCGGCCAGGAGCTGTGCTGGGCGTGTGGCTGGAGGCTGAGCCACCCTCAGCAGGAGCCCAGGGCGTCTGCCTGGGGTGCTGAGTGCGAGCTGGGAGGGGAGCGTGGACAGGCCCACAGGAGGGGCCAGGCTCTGCTGGGCGGGCGGCCACCGAGTGGTCACAGAGTGAAGGAGTCATCCTGACATCCTGTCCGAACGTGTCGCCACTGCCCTAGAGAGGAGACGGGGTCTCCCTGTTTCTAGTCCAGTCCCCTGCACTGCCCCTAGCTCCTTGGGGGTCGCAGGCCTGTCTGTCTCCCGTCGGGACGCTTGCCCTGCATTGAGCTATGAGCCCCCGATGACCGCTAGGAGGGGCTGTGACCCGGGAGTCACAGGACACACACAGCCCTGGCGACAGTGTAGCCCCCTTCGGCCTCTGTCCGACCTGCGGCCGGCCCTGGGCCCCCTCAGCATGCTCCTCTGCGAGGCCTGTGTCCAGGTGATGGAGCGACAGGGCTGTGTGCGGGGGGACGGGGCAGAGACGCCGGCCACACGCTCTCCCCGCCTTCAGTCGCTGAGTGGACAGGCCCTCTACCCCGATGGGAAGAGGATGTGGCCAGTGTGATGGGTTTGGGCGCGAAATCCTGGCGGGCGGGCGGGCGGGCGGGCGGAAGTGAGATGAGGAGGGAGCCATTCCCCAGACTCCAGCCTGGCCCCTCCCTTCCGGGAGGCGGGTGTCTGAGGAGCAGGCCATTACCTGCTGAGGTGTATTCACCTCCGTGTGACAGACTTGGGGGACGGGGGGCTCAGACACGTGATGAGGCCCAGCTGTGTCCTCTGCCTGGAGGGCACCCTGTGGACCCACTTGCTCTCTGTCTGCCTTTGGGGGCAGCCAGGCGTTTATTTCCTGTTGTTCTCTCGCGTGGGAGCCGATGACCTCTCGTCACACCCTTGCAGCCTGTTCCTGGCGGTTACTAATACGCTGTCTGTCTCTGCTGTGCTGGGCTTACAGTTTTCCTCAGTGCAGGCTCACACTTTCTCAGGGCGGAAACCCAGCCGCCCTCCCGACGGTCTCAGTGACGCCCGCTCTGTCCTGCGGGTGCACTTCCTTCTCCCCCTCCCTCGCAGCTGGCCAGCTCGGCGTCGCTGGAAGGCAAGGGGCAGCTGAGGTTCACCTCGGGACGCTGGAGCCCGCATCACAACTGCACCCAGGTGGCCACGGCCAGCGACACCGCCGTCCGAGGCTGGGACACGCGGAGCATGAGGTCAGTGACACGCCCGGTGCCTCGGCCTGCCGCCCTTCCCCCGCGAGGCCGCCCGCAGCAGATGGGTGCGGGGCACGTGGCTTGTCTGTCTGCGTCGCGTTTTGTCTCCTCCCATCGTGAGCTGGTGTGTCACGGCCGTGGCCACGGGGGCTCCACTGGCTGTTCAGGGCTCCGCGGGGGCCCCTCAGCCCTGGCTGTTGATGAAATGGAGATGGGCTCCTGGGACACCGCCCGCTCCTGTCCCCGGGGTGGGGACCACGAGGGACAGTCGGGCCCCTGGTGGCGGGTTAGTTGCCACCGTCTCTGTGCTGTCGGTGACAGATTGTCATCTCCCTCGTGAGGTGCAGCAGCCTGCGGTGCTGGGGGACAGGGAGGAGCGGTTTCTGTTCCAGGTGGGGTCCGATAGGCCAGCGAGCGATGGAGCCTTGTCTGTTGTCATGGCAACGGAACCCTGCCAGCCTCTGTGAGATGCAGCCTGTCCCCTCAGCACACGTCGTTTATCACTGAGCTGTGAGGACGGTGTCACCAAGTGACTGGGCTTGCCTTCCGGGGCACGGCTTCAAGCTGAGCCCCAAGGCCCCTGCAGACCCGCGAGGAGGCGGCTGCCACTGCGGCCTGTGCCCTCTGTCCACAGGGCCGGTGTCCTGACCCCACCCCAGGCCCCACACTGCCTCCTCCTCGGGTCACCGTTCTGAAAAGGGGTACAGAGCTGCAGTGTCTGGAGGCAGGAGGCTCACGGAGCGAAGGGCAGACCCCCACGCAGCCCTGGCGGCTGTGGTGTGGGGGTGTCACCCTGCAGCTCCTGCCTCCGCAGGTCGGCTCTGCGGGCCCCTGAGTGGCTGAGGGCTCCACTTGCGTCGCTCTCTGCAGATGCTCCTGCTTCTGCCGCGCCGGCGCCTTCGGTGCTTGCTGTCCGCTGTGCTGTGCTTGGTCCTGAGCCCGGTTCCCCGCAGCGTGCGGAAGCCAGGCCGCGCCCGCGCACGCGCGACGCCCCCCCACCCCCCTCCCAGTTCCTATTTCCCACGTCCCCTCTCTCACGGCAAGAGCCTCGGGCGTAGGACATGGTATTTTAGGAAAACATATTGGCACCCGGGGAGGGCGCAGGATATAAACACGGCTCCAGACTTAAACGTGGCTCAGGGCCGGGGATCCACCCGGAGGACGAGGTGACAGGGACCGAGGGCTGCCCTGGAGCACAGACAGGTGGCGCCCTGCTGGTCGGCAGCCGCGTGATGTTCGCCGCCCCCCAGAGGCCACGGGTGATAGGCCTGATGGTGGGACAGGTCACAGCTGCGGCCGAGAGCGGAGCGGGCAGTGTGGGCAGGGACGCACAGGCGGGGCTGGATGGGGCGGTGGTTTCAGTCCCCGTGAAGAGCAGCCTAGGGCGGCACCAGGCGTGTGCACATTTGCACGCCTCCGCCCTTGGCTGCCGGGTGCAGGGTGGGCTTCAGGGACCCGGCGAAGGTCCTGCGGTGTCGGCCCGCGTGGTGTGACCCCTTCCCCGACTCTCCCGGAGCCAGCAGTGCTCTGCGTCCCCCCGTCCTTTCCTTGTGTCCTTCTCACCTCATGCTTCCCAGACACGTCCCCCGTGTCCTCCATGGCTGACGCAGGCCCTCTGCCCCTCTAGTTCCCCAGGGACCTGTCACATCTGACAGCCAGACCAGCATCCCTTCCCCAGGGGCTGCTGGAGAGGCTGCAGCCGCGTCGCCGCGGTGGGGGCGCTGAGGTGGGCGCCGGCTCCCTGGCCTCCTGGAGCGGAGC